AATGATTCAGTGGTAACTTAGTCATTTGTGCACTGTACAAGATGATTTTACTGGAGAGGAAAAAAATAAAAGCTGCACTTATCAGTGGAACACTTTCTGTTAAATAAAGATAATTAAAGCATCAATGATACATCCATTTCATGTTTAATTAGCCCCTCTCTCATCATAATTTGCTACTGAAGGTGAAATGTGGGTCACTTTTAAAAACTAATTGTAAAATATTTAACATAATGCAAAATGAGAACAGAAAATTGAAAATACTTCTGTACATTTTTCACAAAACAGTATGAAAGTTAAATGTATGAAAAAAGTCACCAATATGAATGTTTCTACTCAATAAAAATGTTCTCTTTTTTTTGACATGGGACTTAGTGCCACAATAACATTGTTATTTTTATTATTATTATACTGTAGTGTATTTGCTTAGTTTAAAGTTGTGGAAAAAATTATTCTTTAGAGGTGTTTGGGAATATAAAAAATAGCCTTTGAGATAAGCTTCGGTGTGTGTGTGTGTGTGTCTGTACACAAACAAGAGGAAAGATGATGCCCTCCTGTATGGCTAAACTGATTGCCTCCTTAATGGATGAATTTGGGGTCCTATTAGGGCTGCTGGGTATATGTGCATGTTCATGAGGAAATTGATCCATTTAGTTTATAGATTGACATACATGATAACCAACGAGTCAAAATGCTTCTGCAATATTGCAGCAGACTGATTAATGTTTGAAATTTTATTACATAAATTAACTGGCTACTGAACAAGGATTTTTTTCCAGCAAATAATTTTTATGTATTTCACTTTCAGGAAAGTAAGACTTTACAGAAAATGCAAATAATTTTGATTGGAGTGTCAGCACACTGGTTTGATAAACATTTTTCTTCATGAAACAGTACATTTTCAATGAGAAAAGGCATTGGGATTTTTCACAAAGAAATACAGAGGCTAAAAAGCCAATATCTGAAGTACAGAAATAATTCTGTGCAGGAATTCCTTTACTGTTTCTATAAGTTCCACCTATAGTGACCAATATCTCTTTAAAAAAAAAGAAGCAAAAATCCCCTCAGCATTATAACTGAAGTGTTTTAAAGAGCCAATAATCATTTCTTAGTAAAGCAAATAAAAAAGAAACTGAGATAAGATGATGGCCAAGCAGCATAAACATATAAAGAGTTTAAAAGGCCTTTCTTCAAAGAGTGATTGGTAACATGTGGATTCATGATCAAAATTTTCACTGAAATAAAACTGCTTATATGACACTGTGAGACAAAGAGGTGAAGTATATATTACAAAAATATATCTGTAACTAAAAGATAAAATAAACAAGTATTTACAATTAAAATTCATTATGAGATCTATGATTAAGTATGTAGCTCTCCAAGCTGTTAAGTGATTCTCCTTAGGCACTGAGCTTTCATTATCTTTGGCTGTCTTTGCTGGAAATCCCAGTATCCAGGCTCCTCACAGGCAATGTGCAGCACCTGGAGGTTTCAAATTTTAAATCCATGATCCAGAAAAACATTGAAACTCATCCCCATTCAGTAAAACACCTCTGTGCAGCTTTAACTTTTGGCAAGTGATTAAGACCTGTGGAATGCTACGTGTTTTAAACATTTGTAGTGCTTTACTGAAAAGGAGAGAATTGAAAAGTGAGAGGCTAAAAGAATATTTCAGAGTAATACCATGCTAAGTAAGACAAGGATAAGAGTTAAACTTGTTAAAGATCTCCTACAAATAGTGACTGTGAAATGTCAGAAGTCTACTGAATACAGAATTTTGTTTTAAACTTTATATAAAAGACATGATGTCAGAAGGAGAGTTACAAATTGTTTGCAGTTTTCTCCAATTAAGTTATTTTATAATGTCCTGTTTCAAACATGATGTATTTTGAAACTCATATAAGAATTCAATTCAACATCTTTAAAATTAAGTATCAAATCATGGGAATGAAAACAACCTGTGTCCCCTGGGGTACACCAGTCAGTCATGTAAGCAGAGACTTTATTCCTGACTGCTGTATTGTAGTTATAGGAAAGTATCAGTTACCAGTTCTAATTACACTAATGGGTAATTAGCATCACTCTCATCTCCAGTAACTTAGAGCAGGTATGTTCTGCTGTGTCCACTTATTTGTTCTAAAATTTTATACACTCTCTAATGTCTACTTAGAACAAAGGGAACTGACAATGAGTAAATAAAGGCAGTCTTAGAGGTTTCAAGTAGTCTCCCTACCACAGTCATACCATTATGCTACTGGTTCTGTTCCACAGGTACAGCAGAACTATGAAACAATCTGATATACACCCCATCAGAACCCTTTATCTGCATCTGCTTCACATTTCTCTCTAAACAATTGTGCTGAACAAGAGCTTCACGTGGTTTGGGTGTTAAAAATCCTCAGGTGTTTTGCCTGCTAAACTGAGAAATACTGCACTGTCAATGCTTGAGATGTGAAAAGTGTACATTTTACTTATTGTTCATGCAAGTAGGTCTTAATGTGTTCAGTACTACGTAAAATGAGCAAAAGTATACAAATGTCACTCAGCAACAATCTGGCAAGTACACATAGGAAAGTGGAAACAGAGGGTTTGTGACTGATAGACTCTCCCATAAAGTCTGTTATTAAACACTACCTTTACTGTTTTCTTGGACAATTTCCAATTTATTTGCATGCTTTACAAGTGTGAAAATACTCTCTACATATTTAAAAATAAATAGATAAAACATTAGAATACTGGCTATAAACTACTTGAATAAGTGAACATTCCTAACAGGCTAAATATTTAACACAAGAGAACTATCAACACTGAGAAACTGCTTTGCAGCAAACAGGTAATGGAGCAATTCAAGATGCACTACTTTGTAAAAGTGCAATAAAGCCATTTTCTTCTGCTAAGTTTTCTCATATATTTTATATCAAAAGAAATCCTTGGAATATATTAAGTAATTAAAATATATTACTGTATTATAATCTTAAACAAGTTTGAGGTTTTTTTATCAAGCAAAACAGAAATTTGTAATGACTATTCCTTTACCTTTCCTACTCTTAGAGTGCAAATCATTCTTTTACACTGAAATTAAACTACACTTTAGCAGATTATAATCCATATGTTTAGACGAATTGAAGTATCAATAAAGAAGTGATAGGTGATTAGCATATATTCCACTGCTACTTTTATTCCAGTGTTTGCTAAAATGGCATCATCTACTCTGTGCTTAATAAACCTTAGGAGATGAAAGATAAAGAATTTAGTAATTTGTATTTTATACAGACTATTCTCAAACTGAAATTGTGATGTACTCTCTAGGACAACACTAATGAAATGTGTCACACAGAAACTGCTGTGTCAAACGTTCTATAAGTCTGTAGCACTTTCATAGCCACATATACAAAGGCACTGGTAGATATTACAATCACACTATTTTGGTGACCTGAAAGATTGGATGGGGTGGCTTACACAAGTTATAGTAGTTTATGCTACTATATTTTAAGTATTTCTGAGCAGAATGCAAATACTGGCAACACTTGTAAAACCTCAGTTTTAGTAAACTAGCAAACATTTCAAAGTATAAAAAAATGTCATCGTGTACCATATTTGCATGTTAATAAGTGGAAAAGAAAGCATTTTTGTCAAACTAGTCATAATTTCCCTGTTCCAGACTTGGATGTGTAGTTACATGAATCAGCATTCACTTGCCTCTAGCTTCCTGTGTAATGTGCATTGCAGTTGAGAAAACGTTCAGGATGTTATTTTATACAGTACTATCACCAAAAAGTACTCCCCCAAAAACGAGGGACCTCTGTTCAGGGTACATAAGCGTCTTATAAAATAAACGGAAGCCTTCACTTAGGAGCTTGATTCCCCTCTGTGCTATCCCTATCTTATTTCAAGGACTGTAAAGACTGTCCCTACCATCACCAGTTTTAGGCAATCGGAGATTCACTGAACCGAGCCCTGGCAACACAGCCGAGACCAGAGGCAGCCACTCGTGGCACCCCTGAAGGCACATTTCGCTCCGAGAGGTCTCACGACTACAAATAGAGCTATGCAGCAGCTGGGCGAGCAAATTAGGGCCTCTCGGCGTGAATGAAAATTCATGAGGTAGGCAAGAGGGGCATAAAAAAAAAAAAAGCAATGAGAACATAACATACTGAGGTGCGACTCTAAACTAACGCTTATGTGTATTCAGAGCAACTGCTGCAATGAGTGCAAATCTCTGCAATGGTGTAAATTAGAGCGCACATAGGCTGTGTAGATTATTTAAACCTTTTGGTCCTAATGAAAGACCCGGTAATTACAGCCATTAACGCTTCAGCGCTGCGGCTGCAAATCCACTCTCACCCACAGCTTTAGGAAGCGGCAGGCAGGCAGCACCCCCCTTTCCCCGAAACAACTGGCTGCCGAGGCGAAACTTTCCTCCTCAGCCGGAGCTGACACATCCCTAAGGCTGGGAAAGCATCTCGGTGGGGGCAGCGCCGGGACAGGCTGAGGGAGGCGGGGCCGGGGAACGGGAGGGGGATGGCGGCTCCGCCTGGTGGGGGGTCCTGATCTCCCCTCGACCCCCCCAAACCGCCGGGTTTGGCCTCCGGGCTCTTGGCTGATAAAGGCATCTCAGGCTGCCTTACAGTTCGCTGTCGGGACTGGCGACAGAGCCCGGCCCCCGCGGCCGGCTGCCGCTGCGCCTGCGGCGGGACAGCGCCGGCTGCACGGACGGGCTGGTCGGCTGCCGGATCTGATAAGCGGAGGCAATGATAAAAATTATAGTAATAGCAATAAAGATGTCTGACTGTCCTTCCTTCGTGCTGTGTGTTGGTCTGTGCCCCTGACTGCCTGCCTGGAGCGAGGGGGGCGGGGGCACCAGACTGAACGGGTCACTGAAGCTGGACGGGGTGTGTGCCTGTGCCAGGGCGGGAGGCGGGGGGAACGCGTATCCCGGCTCCCTCGCCCGCTCTGTGTGCGTGTGTCTGCGTGCTGGGGCCCGCGGGGCGCAGCGCTCTTACCTGCTTGCTGTACTTGCTGCTGGCCTGGCAGCTGTACTCGGAGCAATGGTCCGAGCCGATGGAGATGTTGTCGCCAGCGCCCACGAAGGTGTTTGCTGGGGGCAGGTCCTGCACGGCCTGGTGCTTTTTGCCAGCAGTGGGGGACTGTGGGTGCAGCTGGACCGTGGGCAGCGGTGAGCTCGACTTGTAGTGCCTGGCCAGGTCAGGGCTGCCTGGGCCACCATTGACCGAGCGATATCGGCCCATGCCAGGGCTGTCCGAGAGCTTCTCGTTCACGCTGTCGTAGCGCTGCCCATTGGGCTTGGAAGCCTCGACAGTAACAATGCTGCTGTAGAGGGGCTGCTTGCCCTTCTTGCCTTTCTTGTCCTTCTTGGGCTTCTTGGCCTTGTCGTGCTGCTGGGGGGTGAAGAAATCCTCATGGTCCTTCTTGCCGGCCTCGTAGCCATGCTTGCCCTTAGATCGACAGTAGCGGGCCATGACCACCACGAGGATAAGAAGGATGACGGTCATGATGCCAGCCACCACGCCAATGACTATGCTAAGCCTCTGCTTGCTCAGCTCATAGCTGGGATCACCAGCAATGTCCTGGGCCAGTGGGGTGTGAAGGCTGCGAGCCACCTGGCTCTCCACCACAGTGGCATTGGACAGGCTCTCGTTGACAAAGACATGGAGCAGGGCAGTGGTGGACTGGGGGGGCTGCCCACTGTCATTCACCTGCACAACCAGGCGGTGCAGGCCATAGTGCTTGGGGGCCAACTTGCCCACCAGTGACACCACACCACTGGCCGGGTCTATTTCAAAGAGTTTGAAGGGGTTGCCCCCAACAATGCTGTAGTTGAGGTCAGCGTTGAGACCTGTGTCAGCATCAGTGGCGACCACTGTGGCCACCACAGTGCGCATGTTGCTGGAGGGTGGCAGCACAGTGTAGGAGCTGTTGCTGGGGAAGGTGACAGTGGGTGCATTGTCGTTCTCATCCATCACAAAGAGAGACACGGTGGCTGTGGCAGACCGTGGTGGCTCTCCCCCATCCACTGCCTTCACCTTAAAGGTGTAGCTGGTCTGCTGCTCACGGTCAAAAGAGACAGTGGAGAAAATGGTTCCAGTGTCATTCTCGATGGAGAAGATGCCAGCTGCCTGTTCATGATCTCCAGGCTGAATAGAGAGGCTGAGCTCGGCATTGCGGCCCTTGTCAAAGTCCATCACAGTCACCATGCCCACGGGGCTGTTGGGCTGCAGGTTTTCTTTCACATAGAAGGTGAACACATCCTGCATGAAGCGTGGCTCGTTGTCATTGCGGTCTGACACTCGCACCACCACTGTGGTGGAGCCCTGCAGCGATGGCACCCCCTTGTCCCGGGCTGTCACCTGAAATTCATAGGTGTCCCGTTGCTCACGGTCCAGCACTGCCTGCACCGACACATCCCCAGAGTCAGGGTCAATACTGAAGATGCTGCCCGGTGCCTCTGAGGAGAGGGGTGAGGCCTCCAAGGAATAGGTGATCTCAGCATTCTTGCCACTATCCGCATCTGTGGCAACCACTGTGGCCACCCTCTCACCAGGCAAGTTGTTCTCTGGGAAGGAGACCTCCAGCACAGCCTGGCTGAACATGGGAGGGTTGTCATTAGTGTCCCCGACCCGCACCAGCAAGGAGTTGTTGCTGGACAAACTGGGGCTGCCTGAGTCCACAGCCACAATCACCACGTTGTAGTCACGGACGGCTTCATAATCCAGAGGGGCCGAGGTGTGGAGGAAATACTTGCGCTTATTCTGTGGCTCCCCTTCACCCTCACTGGCCGGTTTGAGCTGGAAGGGCACATCGCCCACCACGGTGCAGGTCACCACACCATTTTCACCTTGGTCTCTGTCTGACACCTGCACCAAGGCAATGGGGGTGTCCACCAGCACATCCTCGGCCACGCTTGCCACCCCGTCCCGGAGCGGGATGCGCCCAATTTTCCGGATGTCGATGGTGGGCACGTTGTCATTTTCATCCCGGATGTTCAGCACGACAGTGGCCTTGTCTGTCTTGGGGGGCTGGCCCCGGTCTCGGGCCATGACAGTGAAGCGAAGCTGGTTCACCTCCTCCCGGTCGATGCGGTGCAAGACGCTGAGCCAGCCCGTGGTCTCGTCCAGCCGCAGTAGGCGCCTGACGGACTCGGTGGCCGCCCCGAAGACGTACTCGATCTGCCCGTTCACCCCCACGTCCAGGTCGGTGGCTCGCAGCTGCAGGATCGGGGTCCCAGGGCTGCTGTTCTCCGCCAGGTCCGCCTCATAGACGCTCTTCTCGAAGCGGGGGCTGTTGTCGTTCACGTCGGTGATCAGCACCCTCAGGATGGCCTGCGAGGACCGTGCCGGGTCGCCGCCGTCCCGCACGCGGAGGCTGAGCTCGTAGGAGTCCCGCTGCTCCCGGTCCAGCGCCCCCTTGACGATCAGCTGAGGCTGCTTCTCCCCGTCCAGGGTGTCGGCCACCTGCAGCTCGAAGACGCTGCTGCGGGCCGCCGCCTCCGCCTCCTGCCGCCGCTTGCTGCCGCCGGGGAAGGGGGCGCTCTCGGGGGCCGCCGCGGCCGAGCCTCCCCCGCCGCCGCGCCGGCCGCCGTCCCCGCCGGGCTCCTGCAGCAGCTCGTAGCGCTCGATGCCGTTGCGGCCGAAGTCCCTGTCGGTGGCGGTGGGGAGCAGGTAGAGGGTCCCCACGGGCCGGTTCTCCTCCACGGTGAGCGTGAGGACGGGGGAAGGGAAGGTGGGGGTGTTGTCGTTGATGTCCAGGATGATGACCCGGCCTTCGAAGAGGTCCACCCAGCTCTGCGAGGGGCCGATGACCGACACCTCGAAGTCCAAGAAGCACTCGTTCTCGTCGAAGATCATCTGGCACTGCGGCAGCTTTTCGCGGTCGATGCGCCGCTCTGTGGTGCTCAGCTCCCCGGTCATATTATCGATCTTGAGATAGTCGGAGCCCGACTCCAGGCTGAATGTCACCTCTCCGGAGCCCGTCACGATGCCCAGGTCGGAAGCCACGTTGCCGATGCGGATGTCGGCGGGTCCCTCCTCGGCCAGCCGGTACTTCAGGAGCTGCTTAGCCGCTGCGAGGCTGACCCAGAGCGGCGGAGGCAGGAGGAGCAAGAAGCAGCAGCAGCAGCAATGCACAAAGCGAAGGAGGGTCCGCATCTTCCTCATCTTCCTCGTACCGAAACCCCCCGCCCTCCTCTCACTCCCACCTGCCCCCCAATAAACTCCCCTGATAAGCCAACAGTACGGCTGAGAGTCCAGGTGATCAATTATAAAATCCTTCTATTTCTGGAAACTTATTGTCTCATGACTGGTGCAATTGGTGGTCAAAACCCTGCCGCTGGCTCCTCTGCTGCTCTCCCTGCCTTCCAGTTCCGATATACTTACAGTTCACGGGACAGTGGATTTTGCTTTTTAAAGATTCATCTCAGTAGATAGGATGGGATTTTCCTCCTCCTCCCCCTTCTCCTCCTCCTCTCTGATTTTACTGTAATCACTTTGCAAGGTTTGCAATAAAAGCAGGAGCAGTACTGTACGATTCGAAGCCCCCCAGGTCGTCGTCTTCAACACTAGAGTTAACTACAATTCACACACTCTCTCTTTTCTCTCTCTCTCTCTCTTTCTCTCTCTCTCTCCCCCTCTCAGCCGTTTACGACCAAGGCAATAGCTTTATTCTTCCCCCTCTCTGCACACACAGGGGAAAAAAAAATTGTGATTTGCTTTATTCAAAGGGCTTGGGTCCGGGAAAACTCCAAATCCTCTTAGCAATGGGCAGCTCTTAAAAAAAAAAAAAAAAAAAAAAAAAAAAAAGTAAAAAAAAATCCCAATAATGTCGGTAGCTGCACAGCTGATAGGAGAACCCCGAGTATTACAGTGCAGTCCACAGAATATCCCCTTTGGCTGGCAGAAAAGCACCCAAATCCATCTTCAGAGATCGCTTAAAATGTTCAGCTCTTTCTCCGGAGCGGATTTTTTTTTAACAACTCTGCGCAAGGTCATTAGTCACAAAGCAACGATACAGAAACTGCAGAAGCCGTTTGCCCAGAATTTGCAAGGCTGGAGATAAGAACATAGACACACAACAGTCCCAAGTTTGTTTTTGCATCCGCAGTTTGTGTGTGTGCCTTACCTGCATTTGCACTGCATGTGTTAAAGCAATCTGGATCTGCAGCACTGAGAGCGATTCACAAATGAGATTGCAGTCTCTCTCTCTCTCGCTCTCTCTCTCTCTCTCTCTCTCCTCTTCCTTCCCGTCCCAATGCAGGTAACCAGATCTGAACTTGATCCTTTCAGTTCAAAGGTTAGCAACAAAACTATGTGTCCAAAGGCGATTATTGGTCTCTCGTAATTATACCCGGAGCGGAACAAGATGTAACTGGATCCCCCATGTGAATTAACACAGATTCTGAATTACATCCATATAAAGCGGAATGGCAAAGGGGAGGGGAAAAGAGCCGCGACGCGATTAAAAAAAAATTACAGAGTTCTATTTGCAAATAAAATTGTATCAGTCAATTGTTTCCTGTGATCTGCACCGCCACAGTGGGTGAAATCTGCAATTGTGTATTCCCTCCTGTGCCTTTCAGAGAAGTGTGGATCAGACGCTTTCAAGGCAGAGCGGCTTGTGCATTAAAATGTTGAATGGCAATTGAGAAGCTTCCCACTCGTAAGGAAAAAAAAAAAAAAAAAAAAAAAAAAGAAGAGAAAAAAAAAAAGAAGAAGAAGAAGCGGTAAACCAGCAAGTTTGCCCAAAGTGGAGGGAGCTGCTGAAGCCTCTCTCGGTAGCTCTTCCCTGACGCTGCAGCAGCAGAACCGCCTGCGCTACACACACACAGAAAGAGAGGGAGAGAGAGAAAGAGGGAGAGCAGAGAGAGAGAGAGAGAGAGCGAGAGAGAGAGAGGGAGGGCGGGAGGGAGGGAGGGAGGAGGAGGAGGGAGGACGAGTCAAGCGCTGCACTCCAGAAAGCTCAGTCTTACCCTCTGTCTCTGCTGCTAGTGCTGCAAGTGGGATAGCTGCTCATCACAAAACACCAGTTCAGTCCTCAAAACCGATCCTCATTTCACGCCCGAGTGTTGCTTCTGTGGCTTTCTCAAACCCGTGATCTGTAGTGATTTTCTCCTACCCTTTCCCTCCCCACGTCCGCTATAGACTGTGAATCGAGCAACGATTTTTAAAGCAAATGTTTGTTCGCCTTTCTTTGCTTCTATTCTGCATTTTGCGGAATCAAGCTGGTAAGGAAACTCGTTTTGCAGATTCCCACCTTCCCCTGTTGTGTCGGTGCTTTTGTGAAATAGCTGCAGTCACTGTAACTGCATAAAACTCCAGGGAGGAAGGGGGACTGCCTTAGATCTCAGACTTTCGTCCTGTTTCCCAGTGCTGTTTCAGCCTCTCGGTCTTTGTGATTGTGTTCTTCCTATTACCGTGTTTTGAATGTGTCTTTTCAGCATGTTTGTGGGTATCCTAGGAGAAAAAAAAAAACAACAACAACAAAAAAACCCTCGGAGAATATTATCAGGAAGGGAGCGAGAGGGTTAGTGGAAGAAACACATGTAAGAAGTATCAGATTTATTTCCGAACACAGACTTGCTGCTTCGATGATTGCTAAAATGTAGCGTCACCTACCTGGGTAAGTGGGAAATAAACTTTAATGGTAAAGCTCTCCGGCTCAACTTTGCTTATTCTGACGTCTCTAGTTCGCGTCTCCTTTTGACTTTGAGCCATTTAATCTCGTATGGCTTTTGTGTGCTCCCGCCCTACCCTTGGGGATGCCTGGTTCCTTACTTGTCCGCTCTGCTTGGAGCCCGGAGGGAAAACAGGGAGACTCCGGGGGCAGCCGAGCTCGGGGCAGCCAGAGGGGAGAGAATGAGCATGTGCGGGTGTGTATGTGCGGGTGTGTGCGGGTACATGTGTGTGTGCGGGTACATGTGTGTGCGCGGGTACATGTGTGTGTGTGCGGGTACATGTGTGTGCGCGGGTACATGTGTGTGTGTGCGGGTACATGTGTGTGCGCCTGTGTGCGTGCGCGCAGCCAGGGGAAGGCAGGAATCCAGCTGCTCCTTCTCCCTCTGTGAACACATGTGGGAAAGCAAGTTCTGTACGTGCGCGTTCTGTATGTGTTTGTGTGTGCATTCCTCGGTACATATGGCTCTTTTGAATAAAAACGCATGCAGACCAATGTAGCGAAATGTCTCTTTCATCGCGATGATATATTTAAGCGAAAAGCGGCCGGATATGTTGAGGTGGTTCAAAGCAGCGGTCACAGCGTGTCTTTGTCATTTGGGGCGGTGAGTGATTGTAGGAGGGAGGGAAGGTTGCCACCTCTTTCCTTGAGGAGTCCAGAGACACAGAGGGGCAGAGCCGCGCCGCATGGAGTCGGCGCTAGGGTGGGAGGGACTGCTCCCTTCTCCGGAGGGCTGCAGGGCTGCTCCTCCGGAGCCTCCTCCGGCCCTGGCACCGGCCCCGGCCGCTCTGCCTTGCCAGAACACGAAAACCCTCCCCCGCCGGTGCTGGAGACACTCGGCTTTCTATCTGCAGCATCAGCGAGAAAGCCCAGCTCGGCGCAGGCTCAGTGCTCACCGCCGCAGTCCCGGACGGAGGAGGGGGGTTCGGGAGCGCAGCATCTTCGCAGCGGGTTAAGTAGGATTAGTACCAAATCCCTATTATATTTGCCAAGCAACTTGAATTTGTCAAAATTCCCCCTCGCTGTTCTGGAGCTCCGCGAGGAGGAAATTTTGCTCACAGTGTAAGATCCAGACATGCCAGTACGTAGGAATACCAGCATACTGCATTACACTGGCTCCCTGCGCTGGAAATACAACTGCGAACCGCAGGTCCCGCTGTTCCCGTCCCTTTGTGTTTTTAAACGCAGCCAGGAAACTTAATGTGTTCGCCAGGGAAGGGGCGGGATGAGAGCGTTTTTAACCTCCCCGCCATAAACTTTAATCGGATTCCAGGCTGTTGCACGGCATGGACGCTCGCCTTCTTGCCTGCGTCTCCTTCCCCGTTGTTTCTACTACGGTCTCCTTGCGAGCGCCTCTTTCAAGCGAATGAGTGATTTCTTTCTCTTGCCATGTGCAATTGCTCCCCCTTCCTTTCCTACCCTCGCTGGCCTCTCTTACACACACTATGCCTTTCACACGCGGTCTGCGCCCCCCAGTCCCCCCCTCCTTTCCTTCTCTTTTGCAGTGTCTTCACATGCAATCTCTCTCTGAATGTGCAATGTCTTTCCTGCTCGGGAGTGCTGCGTCCTTCACAGTGGATTGGTTCCTCTTTCGGAGCAGAGGTAACGGCCCCCCCTTTCCTATCATTCTCCCTTCCTCCCTCCCCTCCTCCTCTCCTCCCCTCCTCCCCTCCTCCCCCAGGGCAGGCGGCCGGCGTGGGAAATGGGCCCGACGTGCGCTGCATGGTGGATGGCCGCGCTGCTCCCGCTCCACGTGCCTCGGCTGCCGGGGGGAGCACGGGGCTGTGCTGCCCGTGTGTCCCCCGCGCCCCCCCGCATCCCACTCGTTCGAGACGGCAGAGAGCAGAATTCCCCCCGCACCCTCCTCTCTCCGCCTCCCCGGCCCCGCAGACCGCCGGTCCCGAGCACCCTCGGCCTCCCGGGTGTCGGCAGGAGCAAGCGCGGCTCTTCCAGGCGGGGGAGGTTGGTCCCTCTCGGGCAAATCTGTTGCGCAGTGTGAGTCCCCCCTGCCGGCTGCCCCCCCGCTCCGATGCACACAGACGCCCACACGCGCTCAGACACGACACGGCATTTGTCCTCCTGATCTGGTGAGATCAAGTGGGAAGAGGGATCACAAATGTAATCGTCTGTAATAAATAAAATAGCCCGAGATGCTGGTGATATACAGAGGGGAAATAGGAGCTTGTGTCCTTAAAGGGAACATCTGATAAGGCCACCGAAGTGGCATCTTGCGTGTGGGAAGGAATCCGTCTTGCTGACAATCGCAGCCTGCTGTACGTGGGGAAATCCTAAAGCAGCCTGGGAGCTTCCCCGGCTCTGTGCATCCCCCAAGCTCCCGATGCTCTGCACCGGGGCTTTGTTGTCGTTGTTGTAGTTGTTGATTGGAAAGACAGGGGTCATCGTTAAAATATGCAGATATAATTAATGGCTGGTTTATCTTCTTGTGTTGGCTGAGCCCAGCTTCTGCCGCCGGCAGCCGGACTCGCGTCCGCAGTTGGCGCTTTCAGCCCACGACAATTTGGTTTTCACAGTTTGGGAATGTCAGTGGCTCGCACTGGAAAATTACTTCTGGAATCTGCAGTCGGAATCAGTCTCTGGTTAAAGAGAGACAGATTATTTACATATCCACACCACTCCGTACATTAACAAATACACACTGCATATTACTATTTTCACTCACAAATGAAAAAGAAGCTTCAGGAGGGGAAAAAAATCATATTGCCTTGAAAGTAACGTATTCATAATAATACATGGAAAAGATTAAATACAGTAAACATGACAGAAAATTCAAAAGCAGGGTAAAAACAAGGACAGAACCCCCACATGAAGCAGTTAAAGCCATTTGACGGAAAGGCGAAACTAACTCAAGAACTCCACCAAGGGACAAGCAGCTGAAATGACACCAGAGCAGCACGGAGCCCGCGGTGACCTTTCATCTCTCCAAAGTGTCTTGCTGATCTGGTGCAATTCTGTTGTGACCTCTTCACTCCCTTCCCTACCACAAGTGCCCTCCGGCCGCCTCGGAGCTCCCGGAGTTGCTCGCAGTGAGTGTGCTGGGAGGCCGGCTGAGTTACAGGGAGTGCTGACACTTGGCCAGTGTCTTTCACAGCTCTGCAAATATGCTCGCCGTGTAGTAACATGTAATAGGCAGCAGTGATTAAATTATTCATTGCAGCAGCAGCCTTTCTGATGGATGTTAAAACGTAAGAGTTTAAATAAGAAAACCACAGATTTACTTTTAAGCAGATAAACCCCACATCTGTGCTTATTTAACTGAATGCTAGCTAAGCATGAAACCAGTTACTTTGTTTAAATCCTCTCTCTTTTACTCTCTTTGAGAATTTTGAGCTAGATTATGCACCATAAAAGTTACTGACAGAGCAGAATTAATCTGTGTTGGATAACAGTGGTTAAATCTCGCATGATTATAATCGTTCATTCTTAAACTCAAACTGAAGTCTGTTCAAAGTGAAAGGTTCTTGCATAGGCATGATTCCATCAGCATTTCTGAGTTCTCACATTTATGAAGAATGATGAAAATTGATATTTAGCCAAAGAGATAGTGATTCTGTTTAGTAAGATTTTTACAGTGTGTATATATTCCTCAAAAATCACAATTATTAGCATTGAGATTTTCTTTTTCATTTTCTCTTTCTTTCTTTTCTTTCTTTTCTTTCTTTCTTTCTTTCTTTCTTTCTTTCTTTCTTTCTTTCTTTCTTTCTTTCTTTCTTTCTTTCTTTCTTTCTTTCTTTCTCTTTATTTTCTTCCTTTTCTTTCTTTCTTTTTCTTTCTTTTTCTAGAATTTGTCATGGAAGGCCATTTACAGACCGGGTTTTTTTCCCAGATGTTTAGAAAAATATCTAACCACTCATAATAATGTAGAAATAACAGACAGAATATGCTTAAAATCAGAAAGAAAAGTTAGTGAAAGGTCTTTAAAAACTCATGTGAACTTTAATGAGGAGAGGCATATTTTTGTTAAATTTCTTTCACATGCAAGTGCTAACTTCCCTGGATTTGCAGGGACATAAATGAGTTCTGTACCCAGCTCCACTATTTTATAGATTTATTTTTAAATTAAACTATTGTTCATGTTCTCTAAATGCAAAGAAAATGATAAAAAAATTAAGGTGAGCTTTCATGAATTCCTATAAAAATAGAGGAAAATGATGAGTCATTAGTACATTTTCTTCATAAAAAGATACAATGAGACATTTAGAAGAGATAATTAAACTGGACTTTATTTAAATGAAATGTATGAGAACCAGGTAGCACCGCCAAAGAAAGAAAAATACGTTCATTGTCACAGAAAATATTAAATGTGTACAATTGGTATGTATGTAGGGTTATTAGCAGAGAACAGTACAGTTACTCTGGGAAATAATTTAGGTATTTTTTTAATATAAATAGTGTTTCCAAGGTGGCTATCAGTAGTGAGCACACTGAAGGTCTCAAAGTGCTTTGTAAATTATCCCTAGGAGATAAAAAGAAGTGCAATGACCAGGCAAACCACTAAAAAAATTTACTCTTTCCAGATTAGGTTCATTAGACCATAGTTGTGCATTTCTTTATGTTATTTTACTATATTCTGGGTTCACATCAAGATTTGTCTTTAAATATGTGACAATAATTTCTGCTTTATTTGATGGATTGCTGGAGAGTCAAAGAACTCTTTCTGAAGCCTTTAAAACAGGTTTGTATTCCAGACAACTACACAGACAAAGAAAATCTTATGTCATGAAATTTGATGGATAGCACTAAAATATACTAAACTGTTACAGATATATTGAAATACAGATGTTTTTAAGCACGTGCTCTCACTTACTTCAGCCAGCTATCCTTTATATACCAAACTGAGTACACAGACTTTGTAAAATCATTTCACCTCAATGTACTCTTGAGGACTTCTTGACCTAATGTGATTTTTCAGTTCTATGTCCTACATTTTCTACTGTTGTTTTTTTTTTTTTTGATGCTACAAATTCTTTTTCTGTAAATGAAAATTTTCTTCCATTTTTGAATGAAAATCATGAGAGCATATCTTTTGCCTAATGTTCTTTCTTAGTGCATCCTGTGCAGTTTTGATTTATTTTTAATATAATTCAGGAGATCATAGAAGATCTGGTATGTCTTCATGATTGTTCTGTGTTGTCAGCTGCCTGTTGAGCAGAAGATAAAATACTTAAGCAAGAGGGCAACTCTGAGAAGTTCTGAAGAGGAATCTTTGATATTATAATTCAAGTACTGTTATCGATAACTGAATGCTGTGCAGCTCTATTCCTTTCTGTAAGTTAATGCCAATATATGTTATTGATTACATCTAAAATTAAATTTGTAAATCTACACATGTACTCACTTAGCTGGGAGCTTTAATGTTTCTGTCTGCTTTTTCAAAACAATAACTGCTCTCTGGCAGAAAAAAGAAGAGTAGTAGTTGTACAGAACAACTAGGGTATAGAACACAGTTGTTCTATATTAGGGAAATAAATATGGTGGCAAGGAAAATAATTTAGAATGGGATCAAGCTGTTGATTGCCTGTTGGACAGGCTATTTGGCTTTGTTCTGCAATGTTTAAAACTACTTTACTGGGTATTTTATAATGTTAGGCTTGTCATTTCTTTTCATATGAAAAGTGCATCATTAGAATCTTTAGAGGTCATGTTGCTATAAGCCTTATTCAGCTGTACAGTGGAGAAGCAGAAAAAGTTTTCCCTTAATTCACTGTTTGACCCTGTCAGAGACATGACTGTTCACTGAAAAGAAGTAAGGGCTATTCACCTGCTACCATCAACTGTTTTTGGTGAGCAAGAGAAAGTATGAAGAAGTAGAGTTCCTTGTGCCTTTCCCTGAAGTACATTAAAACATAAACTTGTATATCCATGTCTATATTGTACAGGTCTAGTGAGCAGCTTTGGTATTTAGCCAAAATAGCAATTAGAAGCTGAAGAAGACCCTGGTTCTATCACCCTAAACCAGGATCCTTTTAGAACCAGTAGGAGTAGCCAAATATATTTTGGCTGCTAAGCACTGCTACATACCTGATCAGCTTTGCTTCTAAAATGTTTTGCACTGCTATCTGAACTCTCCAAAATAGGAATTAAGGGGTTGTAGTCACCCTTCTGTGAGGAAGATTACATAGTCTGACATTGAAATCATCTGATCATCATCTGATCAATCCTGCTGTCTCACTTGCACTTTCTGCCATGCAGACACAGCCATACTTTTACATCTACTTTAGGTGTTTTGCAAAGTTTCTCGGTGATCATCCTTTGCATAATTACATTTTTAGTGTCCTTTATAAGAGTAATAAGTACTGTACAGAGTGGGTTTTTATGACCTACAATATATCTAGAGGAAGAGAGGTACTGATAAGTTTCTATGTTTTTCATCTTCTGATAGAAACCTGACATATCTTCTAGTTCATTCATTCTGTGAGATGATTAAAAAGTTGCTCTTCAACAAACTAAAACTCATTCAGGGCTCAGCAGGAAATAACTGCAATCTAAGCACATTAAAGAACAGACAGGGCAAGCCAAAGTATACCTTTTTCTTTCCCTCTTAAGATCATGGGGGAAAGAGAAAAGCAGTCTAATACTGTGAT